GCAGTCAACAAGCCAAAAACGAAATCAGAGCCGAATCTATCAAAGCATCATTTATAACCCATTACCTAAGATGTGGGATCTTTTTTTTTTACAAAAGTGAACATGTGCCTAATGATGGCAAATAATAAAAAAAACGATAAATACACAAATAATGGCCAAATATACATGAAACTATGGAAGAGAGATCAATGCAGTATTTTGACGATACCATTGGTGGACCTTCACACGTTCATTTCCAGTATTAAGCAGATGTTTCAAAAAGACAAATATGTTTTAGAAACATTCATTGTAAGTCTCCCACATTTTTTACTCTTCCATCTAAAAGGTCATGTGATCAGGGTACTGTACTTAATAACGTGAATTTTGGACTTTGGTTTGCATTTTTTAAAGTGGCGGATATCATTAAAACATTTTACAATGCTGCCATTCAAATTGGTGATTAAAAATGTTGAAAAAAAAAACACTGCTTTAATCATCGCTGAGGCTGGTGCACAATGCCCTGAACTCGATGATCACATATGGCAGAGAGTGTGGGGTGCCCATGCTCATCTCGTCTGCCCTCTCTATCACCCTCCCTTCCCACCGCCACAGAACTCTTTACCACAGATGGAAAAAAAATAACACGTGGTGCCCTTTAGTAAACAAATCCCATCTTCCTCGCGGTTTCATAGACTGGCTGGCCAGCTGGATAGGTTTACATTTCCTATGTACAGTACACCAATGCATTCCATTATCCTAGATTATTGCTGTTCTATTATTTCTCCTGGTTACATTTCAAGTGTGCGTGGAGTGTCAGGTTAGCATATGAAGAAATTCTTCGACCACATCAATTCCATACACCCAGCCATCAGATTTACCATGGAAGTCGAAAAAGATGGCAAGCTACCTTTTTTGGATGTCCTAATTAAAAAGAGACCGGATGGTTCAATGAGCCACTCTGTCTACAGGAAAGCTACCCATATGGATGCTTATCTGAAACCGGATTCCCACCACCATCCATCACAGAAGAATTCTCTCATCAAGACTCTGTATCATAGAGCCCAATGCATATCCGACCAGGAACACACAGGCAGTGAACTCAAGCACGTACACCAAGCTGTTAAGGCTAATGGTTACTCCGACTATACAATCCGCAAAGCTATCACTCAAACCATGAAGGACCCTCTTGAGGAGCCTTTCAAAACCATCACTTTACCCTACATTGCGGGGATCACAAAAAAGATCTCCAAAATCTTGAATAAACACAAGATCCAGGTCCGTTTCATCACATTACATAAAATCCGTGATCTGGTTCCGTCTGTAAAAGATGTGATTCCGGACATACAGTACCCTGGTGTCTACAAACTAAGTTGCCTCTGTGGTAGTAGTTACATTGGAGAAACCAAATGCCATGTCTCGGACCGCATTCGTGAACACAAAGCAGACCTTAAACACGGTAGGACCAACACCTCGGCCGTGGCAGATCATTGTTATAATTCAGTAGGCTCACATGACATTGACTTTTCCAAGACAGAGGTTCTTTGTAAGCCATCTGGCTACCATGAGAGATTCGTTCATGAGGCTATCCACATATACAAGCACAGAGACAATTTCAACCGAGAAGATGGATTCTGGCTTAGCAATCATTGGAAAGATTTGATAAACCATTTCAGGTCTTAATTGATTGTTCACGCTTACAGTGACTTTCAGACAGCATACATTAATTTTTCGTCTCCCTCCTCCTCTTTTCAGAACATAGATGGACTAGTCCTTCTAAATAAACTGCCAAATCGCTGCACGTGGCGCTGACGTTTTTTAATAAATAAATACACCGTTTAAAAATAAATAAATTAATGCAAACCGACACACCTGATGACAACCGTATGTGTTATGGTCGAAACGTCGTGAGAATTTTTATTGTTTTATATATTTTATTATTTTATTGTTTCCCTTCAACGTGACTTTACCGAAAGAGCTAAGAATATGAATAGGAAATAATCCATTCCAGAGTATAAGAAATTATATTTTATATGGCATATTATACATTAATGGGGTTGTATATAACATAAGTTAGACACTACTTATTGCTAAAATGCATGCATAAATAAAAATAAATGCATAAATAAAAATAAATGCATAAATAAATTAAAATGATGAAAAACACGTGAAACTTCACAGAGAGTTATACCAAGGGTTGTGCACTGAACGAGATCTACAAGCAGACTGAGGAGCAGCGCTTTGTTTCAGTCGTGAACGGGGGCGACGCATGGAAAGGGCGACTCATCCCGACCCATACAAGTTCTAGCAAGCACCTAGTATCCCAAGCAAGACGTCGTATCTCAAGCAAGACGTCGTATCCCAAGCAAGGCCTCGTATCCCGAGACATTTTTTTCTCAACAAAACACGACGAATACCAAATTCGACGTATTCCAAAGCGGTCGTATACCGAGGTATGACTGTAAATACAAATACTGGGTGTTGATATATGCTATTTTGTTATACAGCCATTAGTTACCAGTGTGAGAAGCAAGTTTAATCAAAGGTGTATTATGCCCCACGGAACACGCAGCCACCTCAACTGACGTTTCAGATGACAACAACCGCGTGATTTTAATAAGGGAGCTCGGTTTCCATTACAATGCAACCGTGACTTTCCATTCTACCCATGTTCAAATGCAAATCGAGAAAACGTACAGGACGAAAGATCATTTGCAGATGCATCGTAGGGGAGGGGTATGGCGCAGAAGAGGCTGGGGAATAAGGATTTACACGCAACAAGCACCTGCAAGGAGGATTAAGGGTGATTATCGACAGATTTGCAAGGGGTAGGTATGATATTAACAACAACAAAACTATAAAGGACTTGCCAGTCGGATTGGGAAACAATAAGCTGCAGGAATAAAAAGGTAGATAATTACCCTTGCCTTGAACAAGATTTATATGAATGGATGGTCACTGGATGCACACACATACTGTACATCTTTTTCAATACACTGCTGAAAATGACCCCTTTAAATAGACAAAACAACAAGCATTGTAGTGTACAGCATACTGAAAAAGGGCGGAGGGCCAGCAAAGGAAAAAAAGCAACCAGAACCAGCTACCAGAAACACAATAGCATATTTAGAAAGAAAGATAGGGGATGGAAATGTCAGACAAACATTTTTTGCCATACAATAGAATTCGCAGAACAGAGAACAGACGCAAAGACAAATCAAGGAATTGTAACAAGAAACGGAGGAATGAAAGCAGAAAAAAGGATGATGACGTTGATAAACCACAAAAATAGATCTTGGTGACTAAAATGAAAACAATGCACCGACAAGGCTGGATCGTTTGCGTGCGTGTCGAACTCATTTCGCACACCGTACGTAGCCAACCGTGCTATCATACACGTGGTGGAAAAACGGTGGGCAGGTGACCACTGCACTTATTTACATTTATCGATGTCTTGAGGATATTTATTTGAAATAACTCTGGAAACAAATGACGTTTAAGATGAGGAGGTTGTCCAGATGTTACAGCATACGTGGCCACTGCTTATTGCAGTGTGATAAAGGGAACCCTCATGGAATAGATTTTTTTAAAATCTGGACATCAAAAAATAAGGCCCGGCTTTTTGATCTAAATGAGTGCACCTATTGAGGGAAAGTCTACACACCACTGCCTGAAAGGTCACCTATTATATACAGGCTTCCCTAGCTTTATTCTTTCTCATCAGCCACCATCGCTTCTAGATACTTGTCCTGCCCAATCCCACTTACTTTCCTTGGTAGTTCTAATGTTGTCATCAAACCGCATACGTTCTCTATTCCACGTGCTCATCTCTTTGTCTCTCAACGTAACTCCAAGCGTACATCTTTTCAGGTTTTGCGCACTGTTCAGCTTTTGTGTGAAAGATATCTATATTTTTTGTTATTGACGATGTATCTGAACCATGCGTCGGAGCAGACAGGACACGCCGATTAAAAATAAAATAGCAAAAACACGAAATGCTTGGGTTTAAGCTGCACCTCCATGCATGCATGCAAGCCTATGCATGCATAATGGTCATTCCACCAAGCCAAATGGGTGTGTTCCTGCAGGCAGCGTCGGTTTGGGTTGACTGCATACTTCACATTCAGTGACTATGCCTTGCTTTTGGCAAGCCATCCTGTACGGGCGTCTCACATACCATGGTTACAAGCCCCAGCTCTATTATAGGATGGTTGAGCCACACACTAATCCAACAAGACCCACCGCCCCCATTTACAATGATTCAATATCAAGTCAAAGTGTCTACCTGCCTGGTCAATCGGTCAATGGCATGGCACTCATTTCCATTTGGTCCTCTTAAAACTAGTGGTGGAATTTTCACTGTTCCATGGTGGGGGGGCAGTCTCTCCGTAGGATGACCAATGTTGACTTATCACTGCTGTAGATATTAGATTGACTCTATAGAGGAGGACGGGCTGAGTGGCCTCACAACTGCGATTTAAACTTTGAAAACATTCTAATTGTGATTCCAGCACTCTAACCGCTGAGCCATCTGGACATGTGTATGCACGTCATTAAAAATACTGAGCCGCTTGATTTAATAACACATGGGTTTAGTTTATAGCTCAAACGTTTATCGCACGCCAGGCAGAGAGCCCAGTTACGTAGTCACAACAACTCTGTTGTTATACCGCCACTCCTCTCCATAAACATTCCAATGCAAATGTCACATTTTGTTACTAACACAGTGATAGTGTAAGAACACTTGAGATAGATCACGCAAGACTACAAGACTGTTGAGTCGACTATTAAATAGCATTTTAAAAGTTGTTCAGAATTTACAGGACTAAATCTGACGATGACTCAAGCGTTTACTCCTTTGCTCCGGTCACTTTTAACGCCAATTCCTTTTTGCTCACTATCATTCCCGTGAAAAGCCTTGCAATCTATTTAAAAACAGACTTATCATGCCAATTAAAAATGCAGCGACCTTTTCTCCAGACAAAACTTTCCAGTAATATACACAGAACAGACATGTACAATACCTCGGCTGTCACTGACGACGTTCCAGAAGCCTCCAGGCTTTGCTCGCTTCAGCCGAGAGACTGCTTTTTACAACAGAGCCCAAATCATCAGCGGGCGTTCGCTGGAGCCTGTGTGATTGGTTCTGCAGTAACCAGCTAAGCGCCACGCAGATGATGATGGGGAGGTGGCCAGGTGGCTCAGGGTGCTAATACTGTCAGAGCACTGAGCCAGCGCGCCACTCGGACCTGAGCTGGACTCCCAGTTCAGCCACCTGTGATTAATCTGATATTTCTCTTACGATTAAACAACTCTTCCTCGAAATGTATTAAAATTGTGCTTTTGGCATAATTTCATGACATGAAGTAACGGTTCGGACCTCTCTCAAAGCAGCGCAACTCTTCATGCCAGAGAACAGCCTGCAGATTAACGTAGCTTGTCGATGGTCTCAGCCCAGCTACCAATTATTGCATTAAAAAAATCCACAATTATAAAAAAGGTGCTTTCAAAAAATTTGGTTAATTCAAATTATGAACATTAACAAAAGTGTTTGGTTTTATTGAGGTGCGTCAAACACTCTGTACAGGGCATTTTAAAGGTGTGCCCCGAGTGTGGATAAAGAGGGCTAATGATTTAATTTCAGAAGTACAGGAGTTCCATGGCATCATCTTGGGCCTTGTTTGCTCTGGAGACCGGGAGATCAATGATCCATATTCGATGTTCGGTCGCCGATTTGAAAGAATTCGTAGCAATTTATCTCTTAACAGAGTGGATCGCGTGAAGGCTGACATCTTCCACCTCATATACGACACGTAACGACGTAATACCCGATCCACAAATACGAATGAGATATCACAGCGATACACTCCGCTACTCCTGACGCAGACATCTGGCTTGACCACCTGAATGTGAAAAGATAGTTGTTCCTCTGCATCTACAACATCAGCCGTACGAAAGAAGAATCTTTGGCCTTACCCGAAATAAACTGATTGAACTTCCAGGGCTATTCTTTCATAAACAGTTATCCACTACTAGCTGTGACTTTGAGAGCCCCAAATTGATTTTTTTCCTATTACATGACACAACTGTAACATGATACGGATATTTTTAATGGTAATTAATGGTATTAAACCAACATTAATATATGCTTGCAACTGTTAATAAGTCTGTGGTATACTGTCTCTATGACTATAAATGCTACAAATGGAAACGTGTGAAAAGCTAGCTACTCTCTGTTCGTGACATTTTTAATAAAAGCAGCTGCACTATTTCCACACATAACTATTGTTTATTTACCAATGCCTTTCACTGCACCACACAATGTGCCTGCTGTTGCTGCCAGTACTGTTGAAAGGACGCCAAATGAGGGCATTTAATGGACCTTTTCACGTGAGCAGAAACTGCACAATAACCAGCAATGCGGATGATTTCATGAATCGGCAAATATATATTTTTTCAAATATGCGTGCGTTCTACGTCTATGCAACCAACTGATGAAGGTTAACATTTAAATGCCGAGAGAAATGTCATCCCTCTATACGCAAAATTGCGTTACATTCTTACACAGAATAACTGAAGCATGGGTGCTTGTGATCTCATTAAGGATTTTTTCCCGAATTTTCTGACAGAACTGTGGCACACACAGACAGGAGCTTTTGGCTTGTGTACAGAATGTTAGGAATGTCACGCCAGTAGAAGGGAAAGTAAGTTGAAAGTTACATGTATAACTTGTCAGGACAGCGTTGTAGACATAATCAGGAAGAGGTTGCGATGGGTGGGATGCGTGCGCAGGATCGAGGATGGCATGTGCCCAAGGCAGACATTGGAGTGGAAACCAGAGGTCAGTGACCGTCGTGAAGACCTAAAGCCAGATGGTGAGATGCTCTATGATCAGGCTTCAAGGGTTGGGTGAGAAGTGAACAGCAGATGTGTGACGTGACAGAAGAAAGTAATTTGGTGTTGTGGCAGAATATGCAGTCCTGGCTGTGATGACTCACAACGACAATGTCCTTAAATCCTCCTGTTGATGAAATAATAATGCTACTCATGTAGCAATCTCCGAAAGCAGAAGGTGGCGTGACATAAATTCTCAGGGCGGGCCAGGGGTGGATAATACTCTTGATAAGTCACGTAGCAAGTGTGGTGGGCACAGGACTTCTGATGTGTGTGTGAAACGCAGCTTGCTTGATTAGGGAATTTCTCACAACCTGGTTAGACGCCACGTGGTACGAACGTGACCCAACAAAAAAACAGTGCACTGATGAACCCAACTTGACATTTAAAACCCTATGAGGGGCTAATCAAACACTATAGGAATAACATATATAATATGTCCGCTCCTGTTGACTTTCCACTTCGTCTACATTCACTTCATTGCTGAGTAATTGTCTCAAATACCCTTTTTGCTTTGGTGCCTTGAGATGTACAGCATGACAAGCTATTTTTTTAAATAACAAATAATGGAGATGTTAAGAACTGACCACCACTGAAATGTGAAATTTGAAACACCAGCTCAGATACTCAAATTGAGATGTGTCACCCTATTTCCTCACTTGAAAACATACAGACCACGTTATCTTTTACTTGTGAAGGTTATTTTTTCACGACATCTCCATTCCATGTCCATCACGGGGTTGTTTCACAATGCGTCATCACGCGAATCAATGCACGTTGTTAAAAGGGTTTAGGGGAGGGGTACCAAGACCCATTTACCGATCACTCACCACTAATGTTAGCCACGGCCAGGAATCTAACTCAGTTCGGTAGATTCAGGGCATCAGCCAACCCACTGTGCCACCCCACTCACGCAATAATTATAAAATGAATCAAGTTACTGCAAACACAAACAAACCACTTTATTTAAACATTAGTGTGTGTGTGCCAGTGTTCCCTTCTGAAGCGCGGTTGGCTACGTACGCTGCGAAATAAGTTCAACATACAGACCCTCTTTATCCAATTCAGAGTGAGACCCCTTCACCTAAAGCTGGGGTCACTTAGGCCCTCTTGTCTGGACCCCTCTTTGGGCCTCTATATTCCCTCTGGCCAAGCCACCTAAAACCACAACCCCCCCAAACTCTGGCCCCTGGCATCTCACTCCACCCCGACTATAAACGCAGCTCCCACCCTCCCTCCCGGCCCAGGAATGAATGAGCAACGAAAAGGCTCCCTATGCACAACTGGTGGTTCAGGCTCCTCCCGTGTCTGGTGGCGTGAACAATTCCCCAAGTTGATTTCTTTCTCACCCTACCCTAGCTTGTGCCGAATTATTCAACGAGAAACTAGGGGATGGGGGGATGGGGGGGAGAGAATCTCAAACATTCCGTGGACTGCGATATTGGTTCGCATGGTGGTTAAATTAACGGCAGCGTCATGCTTAAATAGATGTTACATTTATTTTAACATGCGTGAACAAAAACGGGTGCAGTCAACAACGCAACTGCTTAATTTAGCCTTTGAAAAATGATTGAAATTAACACGTTGTATTATTTTCCTTGCATTTAATGTCGATGTAGTTTTTTGTCTTGTAATTAATTTTTGCAAGGTATTTAAACTAAACGCTGTATTTGTATTCCCCCGGCTACAGTTAATATTAGTGACCGGTGATATCTAAACCCTTCCCTCCCCCCCACTTCACGAACCAGCACTGACCAGCGAGGTGAAGTATGGTCAAACAAACCACACGATGGATGCGACGTGGCAAGGCAGTGACTGTACGCGTCTGTGGAAAAAGAGCTTTATAGCTCATCGGATTCCTTCGGTATATTCCGATGCTTCTGATTCTGATACGGTGATCCCGTTTACAGAACAGCAAAACAAAAAATTCACCAGATGTCTAAAGAGCCTTTCCTCAACAGATATTCGTATCTTAGAAGGGTCTGTGAATAGACGTAAATACGTGTTTGAGATTGTTGAGCGACGCGGAGGCTTCGGAATACAATGTTTTATCTGTGATTTACCCCCTATCGTGTTCGCGGGGAACCAGTTAAAGTAATAGTAGTTCTGTACCCCATACATCACCAATCCCTGCGGTGTTGTTATTAGGGCAAGTGGATTTACAATCACATCAACGCGACTTGGCCAATCATCACTACCTCCGTGATAAGTACCAATTTGTGTAAAGTAAACAGTGGTCGTCAGACGGACGTACTGGCCCCGACGTGCTAACGTGTAATTTACACCAGCAATATAAAAACAAAGCATTACTGCACCTCCCATTAGCGCGGTTGGCTGCGTACGGTGCGAAAGAAGTTCAACACACACGTACACACGCATCTCTCTACCTACAACCACAAACCCTGTAAGTTAACATCCCCATGGTCAACGAAACGAGCGCCACTTTTGCGGTAAGCCAACAGTGGTCGTCCTGTGCATATAGACTTTCCACTGTCATAGTAATGTGGAATTTCCACGACTATCTATGCGCCCAGGGACAGTTGGGCCATCACCGGCCTCGCCTGATATTTCGCGGGAAGCCTGCGGCTAGGCCGCTGGTCAATAGACTGGCCAGATGCGTCCATCGACCACGCAAACCCCGCGGCAACAACCAAGACGCCGATCAATGTAAACACAATTTTCTACAAAAAAAAACATAATTAAACGGGTTTATTTTGTATGTGTACATTTATATGTAAAACAACACATTAATGCGTAAGTTTACTAAGTAACGTTACGAAGATGTTCGTGATTTTAGGAGAAAAAAAATAAAAGTTTAACAAATCTCGGCTGCCGAAACCTTCGCTTTGTATTTGTTAAAGCGCAAACACTTCAAGGGAGATTTACCACGAAGCCTACCTTGGAGTAGCTGCTGCTGATGATGATGATGCTGCTGCTGATGCTCTTTAATAACACTTCACCGTCCCTCACTCCCGGTCAACTTTCAGAACTTGCTCGCTGGCATCACCGAGCGGGCGAAATCCTCAGAGAGACTCCCTCCCTCATGAATATTTAGTTGGCCGCTTCAAAACACTCATGAATATTAAGTTTGCTGCTTCAAAACACTCATGAATATTTAGTTGGCCGCTTCAAAACACTCATGAATATTAAGTTGGCCGCTTCAAAACACTCATGAATATTTAGTTGGCCGCTTCAAAACACTCATGAATATTTAGTTTGCCGCTTCAAAACACTCATGAATATTAAGTTGGCCGCTTCAAAACACTCATGAATATTTAGTTGGCCACTTCAAACACTCATGAATATTAAGTTGGCCGCTTCAAAACACTCATGAATATTTAGTTGGCCGCTTTAAACACTCATGAATATTTAGTTTGCCGCTTCAAAACACTCATGAATATTTAGTTGGCCGCTTCAAAACACTCATGAATATTAAGTTGGCCGCTTCAAAACACTCATGAATATTAAGTTGGCCGCTTCAAACACTCATGAATATTTAGTTGGCCGCTTCAAACACTCATGAATATTAAGTTGGCCGCTTCAAAACACTCATGAATATTTAGTTGGCCGCTTCAAACACTCATGAATATTTAGTTTGCTGCTTCAAAACACTCATGAATATTTAGTTGGCCGCTTCAAAACACTCATGAATATTAAGTTGGCCGCTTCAAAACACTCATGAATATTAAGTCGGCCGCTTCAAACACTCATGAAGATTTAGTTGGCCGCTTCAAACACTCATGAATATTAAGTTGGCCGCTTCAAACACTCATGAATATTAAGTTGGTCGCTTCAAACACTCATGAATATTTAGTTGGCCGCTTCAAAACACTCATGAATATTAAGTTGGCCGCTTCAAACACTCATGAAGATTTAGTTGGCCGCTTCAAACACTCATGAATATTAAGTTGGCCGCTTCGAACACTCATGAATATTAAGTTGGCCGCTTCAAACACTCATGAATATTTAGTTTGCCGCTTCAAACACTCATGAATATTAAGTTGGCCGCTTCAAACACTCATGAATATTTAGTTGGCCGCTTCAAAACACTCATGAATATTAAGTTGGCCGCTTCAAACACTCATGAAGATTAGTTGGCCGCTTCAAAACTCATGAATATTAAGTTGGCCGCTTCAAACACTCATGAATATTAAGTTGGCCGCTTCAAACACTCATGAATATTTAGTTGGCCGCTTCAAAACACTCGTGAATATTAAGTTTGCCGCTTCAAAACACTCATGAATATTTAGTTGGCCGCTTCAAAACACTCATGAATATTAAGTTGGCCGCTTCAAACACTCATGAATATTTAGTTGGCCGCTTCAAACACTCATGAATATTAAGTTGGCCGCTTCAAACACTCATGAATATTAAGTTGGCCGCTTCAAACACTCATGAATATTTAGTTGGCCGCTTCAAACACTCATGAATATTAAGTTGGCCGCTTCAAAACACTCGTGAATATTTAGTTGTCCGCTTCAAAACACTCATGAATATTTAGTTGGCCGCTTCAAACACTCATGAATATTAAGTTGGCCGCTTCAAACACTCATGAATATTTAGTTGGCCGCTTCAAACACTCATGAATATTAAGTTGGCCGCTTCAAAACACTCATGAATATTAAGTTGGCCGCTTCAAACACTCATGAATATTTAGTTGGCTGCTTCAAACACTCATGAATATTTAGTTGGCCGCTTCAAACACTCATGAATATTAAGTTGGCCGCTTCAAACCACTCATGAATGTTAAGTTGGCCGCTTCAAAAACTCATGAATATTAAGTTGGCCGCTTCAAACACTCATGAATATTTAGTTGGCCGCTTCAAACACTCATGAATATTTAGTTGGCCGCTTCAAACACTCATGAATATTTAGTTCGCTACAAACACTCATGAATATTAAGTTAGCCGCTTCAAACACTCATAAATATTAAGTTGGCCGCTGCAAACACTCATGAATATTAAGTTGGCCCCTTCAAACACTCATGAATATTAAGTTGGCCGCTTCAAACACTCATGAATATTTAGTTGGCCGCTTCAAACACTCATGAATATTAAGTTGGCCGCTTCAAAACACTCATGAATATTAAGTTGGCCGCTTCAAACACTCATGAATATTAAGTTGGCTGCTTCAAACACTCATGAATATTAAGTTGGCCGCTTCAAACACTCATGAATATTTAGTTGGCCGCTTCAAACACTCATGAATATTAAGTTAGCCGCTTCAAACACTCATGAATATTAAGTTGTTCGCTTCAAACACTCATGAATATTAAGTTGGCCGCTTCAAACACTCATGAATATTAAGTTGGCTGCTTCAAACACTCATGAATATTAAGTTGGCCGCTTCAAACACTCATGAATATTTAGTTGGCCGCTTCAAACACTCATGAATATTAAGTTGGCCGCTTGAAACACTCATGAATATTAAGTTGGCCGCTTCAAAAACTCATGAATATTTAGTTGGCTGCTTCAAACACTCATGAATATTAAGTTGGCCGCTTCAAACACTCATGAATATTAAGTTGGCCGCTTCAAACACTCATGAATATTAAGTTGGCCGCTTCAAACACTCATGAATATTAAGTTGTGCCGCTTCAAACACTCATGAATATTAAGTTGGCCGCTTCAAACACTCATGAATATTAAGTTGGTCCGCTTCAAACACTCATGAATATTTAGTTTGGCCGCTGCAAACACTCATGAATATTAAGTTGGCGCTTTTCAAACACTCATGAATAGTTAAGTTGGCCGCTTCAAATACTCATGCATTAAGTTGGCGCTCAAACATCATGAATATTTAGTTGCCGCTTCAAACACTCATGAATATTAAGTTGGCCGCTTCAAAACACTCATGAATATTAAGTTAGCCCCTTCAAACACTCATGAATATTAAGTTGGCCGCTTCAAACACTCATGAAGATTAGTTGGCCGCTTCAAAACTCATGAATATTAAGTTGGCCGCTTCAAACACTCATGAATATTAAGTTGGCCGCTTCAAACACTCATGAATATTTAGTTGGCCGCTTCAAACACTCATGAATATTAAGTTGGCCGCTTCAAAACACTCATGAATATTTAGTTGGCCGCTTCAAAACACTCATGAATATTAAGTTGAGCCGATTCAAACCCTCATGAATATTAAGTTGGCCGCTTCAAACACTCATGAATATTTAGTTGCCGCTTCAAAC